AATAATACCCAGTTGCACCAGACGAAACAAAACGGTCTTAAGGGGGATGACAAATGTGCGAGGACCGAACCTAAATCCACGGTTAGTAGATCAAACTGCGTTATCCTCTTTAATGTACCAGACTGTAGCAGTAGCCTCCTGGAAAACAGGGCCCTGTTTGATCAGGAACAGTGGTCCAACTTATGTAGCACACTGGGTCTGGATATCCAACCAGTAAAACTATTCAGATTGTATAGGGGCACTGCTGCACCTCAAGGCAAACCATCCCCACTGAGGGTAACACTAGGCTCTACCGAGGATGTCGAAAAAGTTTTACTGACTTCTCAAGTCCTTTCTATAGGGAGGGCCTGCAATATACGTGTTAGGCCAGACAGACCATGGAAGGGAAGATAGATGGCGAGGGAGTCGCCAGAGCTTATTCCTTCTGCCTCCATAGTTGTTCACTGCATTCCCGAACTGGTAACTGGGAATGTTTGCGAGAAGCACTGTCACGATGTACAGCAATGGAGATGGTTGGCATCCCAGATGGCTCTGGGAAGTTCAGGGGCTGTCTCTATTTATAGACTGCCCCGACCCACTCACCTTATGTCAATTAACACGTTACGTCTGTTAGCTGTCAAGTTCAGCTCCGGAGACCACTTGACTACTGCTCTGCAGAGATGGCACGAGACCAAGGACAAGGTCAGCAGACACATTTGCTGCTGCGAGAGCCGGCCTCGTATCCAAAGGAGAGAACAAAGCGTTATCAAAGAAAATCCGCAACCCTTAGTCACAATACAGCGGTGCAGCACGGACGATGATAGCCAGTGTCATCCAAGTGCTCCGAGTGAATCAGAAGAAAAATCGCCAACAGGCCGGTTCCCAGGGAATCGGCCAACTAGTTCGTAGGATAACTCCTCAACCGACAGCCCACATCACGTCAACCACCCCCCAATAAGGGGACGTGGTGAGACTGACTACCAGCTGCCTGTACAGTAATGTGAGAGGGCTAAGAGGCAAAATAGCTTAACTTAGACACCTACAATCACAGCTGAACTCCAAAATCATAATACTGACGGAAACCTGGCTAACCCCTACGGTGGCAGACAGCGAAGTCAGTATAAATGATATGGTCCTAGTCAGAGGAGATAGGGACCTGAAAGAAGGAGGTGGAGTTGCCACATACGTCGACAGACAGCTCAAAAGTGTTCACGCAATGGACCCTCCCCTCACTGAGCTCCCTGACTCCATATGGTGCCATTTCACCGTTGGGTACTGCAAATATCTAGTGGGCAGCATTTATCGATCACCTTCATGTGGAGCAGACCACAACCAGGTACTGTTAAACACAATTTCAGCGACACAAGACATGGGTTATGATCAAATTGTCATAGCTGGCGACTTCAATGCCCCATCTCTTAACTTGATGTCGGGATATGCCCATGATAGATTTGATCGAAATCTGCTGCATACCATCAGGAAGGCTGGATTCACTGAAAATATCAGAATGGATACTAGATGGGGCCCAGACGGAAAGTCCTCTAGACTGGATTATGTGCTCACTAGTGACCAGCTACTAGTGGAAAACGTTCCGATCACGACTTCCATAGGTAGTAGTGACCACGCGGTCATAACATTCGACATAGTCCTCCGCGTTTACAGTGGGAAAATACACAGCCCTACCTATGTCATAACAAAGCCAATTACACCGAAATGCGAAGACTTTTGTCTGAAGCAAATTGGCCTAAAAATGGACAGAGCTAACAGTAGAAGAACACTGGGGAGTGGTAAAGTAGATCATTCACCAGGCGGTCTCAGACACTGTTGCTTTAGTCATACCAAAAGCTAGGAAGCAACGTTCATGGCTAAAAAGGGGGACACAACGCCTTCTGTAGGCGAAGCGAAAAGCATGGTTTGTGTGGCGACCATCGAAGAGTCAACCCGAACTTGAAGTGTACACTGAACTCAGGAATCGATGTAACGTACGAGTCCGGATTGACAGGAGGACATTTCAGGGATACCTCGCCAATAAGCTTGTCGTGAACCTCAAAAGACTATACAGGTTTATGTCTGAAAGAAAACCGACCAACCAGGGAGCATGCAATCTGGTGGGTTCTGATGGGAAATCTCTTACTAGTCTTGAAATGGCAGAGACATTCAGTCTAGCCTTTCATAGGCAACTAAACAGTAACGGGGATTTTACCCCCACAAAACATCAAGATTACAATGCAAAACCAACCCGCGAAAATCTGCTAGGTACATTTCAAATTACCCCGGCATTGGTACTCGTAAAATTGGGAAATTTGACTTCGGGAAAGTTCTCAAGCTGTGTTGACGTCAGGCCATCCGTCCTGAAGCAGTGTTCAGAAAGTCTCTGCTAACCCCTTAGCGATCTATTTCAACACTCCTTTGATGTAGGGAAACTTCCATGTGAATGGAAACGAGCCATCCTATCCCCTATTTTCAAGGGTGGTGACCGGCAAAATGCGACCACTTACAGACCAGATGGGCTACTTCCAGTGATATCGATATTGGGAAGTCTCATTGACGACCACATAAGAAAATACTTCAACGGGACTAACCTACTCCATGAAGCACAGCACGGTTTCAGGAGGGGAAGATCCTTTGTGACGAATCTTCTACTAGCCTGGAACGATTGGACACTATCCTGGAGCGTAAAGGTTCCAGTCCATGTGATCTTTCTCGACTTTACGAAAGCATTCGACGCAGTTCACCATGGTCTGCTCCTTCACAAAATAAGCAGGGCGGGTGTTTCTGGAGCACTTATTGCATGGCTGAAAGATTACTTAGGCGAGAGAGAATTCTGCACCAAAGTCAACCGCATCCGATCATCCTGGCACACCTCTGCATCAGGGGTTCCTCAGGGTTCTATCTTAGGGCCGTTGATGTTTTTGATTTTCATCAACGACCTGCTCTGTCAACTGAACTGCTCTGCGCTTCTTTACGCCGACGACGTAAAGATTTGGAGAGCAATAAACTCATCGGAAGACTCCGACAGATTTCAGGCTGACCTGCAAACTCTGGGAGACTGGGCTCTGGCTAACGGAATGCCTTTCAACCTAAAGAAGTGCAAAGTGGTGCAACTTCATTCCGACAGGTCACAGAGTGTAAATTACACCCTTGGTGGCCAAAACCTGAGTTGTGTGCCATCAAAGCGCGATCTAAGTCTTATTGTAACAGAAAAGCTAGACACCAGTGGAAATAACACGAGGGAAGTCGCCAACGCCTACGCAACTTTACACTTTATGCATGGGCAGCTGAGAGCTCTTATTCCCAAACTATTCTTAAGGTTGTATAAGACATACATGAGGCCACACCTTGAGGTGCATAATATCATTGCTCCTCCGCTACTCGAAAGGGATGCTACCATTCTAGAAAGTGTCCAGAGACGAGTGACAAAATGGGTGATTGGCCTCCGCGACAAATCATATGAGGAAAGACTGAAGAAATTAAGTCTTCTCACAGGGGAGACCCCATCACAGTCTACAAGATCTTAAATGGCCAGGCCCACCCAAATAAAAGCATCCTGCCATTAAGTGATTATGGGCTTCCACGAGGTAACCCGCTAAGGATAGCACACCAGAGACCAAAGACTCGAGTGCGTGCACATTTCTTTTCGCATATTTGCATTAAACTACATATAATTCATTGGCCGAGATGAGTATTTGCAAACCACTCATGTCAACGTGTAGTACTTGCTTGTCACATCTAAATGATATGATACCGCTGATCTCAATCAATCAGTAGCAATTAATTTTATGCAAATATGCTTGCTTTCTTGATTATCATTTAAGGTATCAAGCAGATCACAATTTTTCATATGAATAACTTGGTTTAGGAAGGAATCCGTAGTAAGACTTCACCAATCGAACCATGTAGATTGCAAAGTGCCGACCGGTTCGCAAACTTCAAACTTGATTCATGAAACGCAATATTCTATTTGAAACAAAAATAATTTGAGAAATCGTGCAACATATGAACAGACTGAATGTGTGGCTATAATGTCAGGTGCAAGTAAAAACCACTCATAATCGAGACATATTTTTTGCATGGATTGTGATCTAGTCTGGGTAACTTAAAGCTGAATTTTGAGTGCAAAATGTCAGTTTAGAAGTAATCATCTGTACACACAAATGTCAATAATCCCATCTGTGGCATCTTTGACGGACGAGCTAGTTTCTGCCCAAGAATTTGAGCCTGAAGATGGCTACCAGTAGAGTGAACGGTGCTATGGGGAAACTATTTGCGGCTTCAGAAGGTAATATACGAACAAATGAATTCTCAACAAAGCCAAATGAATTACTGAGCTCAATATATACCTCAGTGGATAAGTGGGAAAGCTAACAAATGAAAAATTCAGACCCAATCCTGAGTTGGTTGTAGTTAAGTGGATGACATCAAGTAATCCAGTAAATCATAGTTCTTTTGTGTGATAGATTCAATAATCAAACATATTAACTCAATGTCAAAGTTTTACGGATACAGCAATACGTCCAGTTTTTCTTAAGAACGGTATGTCTCATGTCTCGGTTGCGTTGTAGAGCTGAACAGCAACGATTTTCTATGTTGGCATATCGTACATCTGAGCACAAAACTTCAACTGGAATCTGTAAGTTGGCCTAGTGTCTTTGCTAGAGTCTATCATTTACTTTCAATTCTTGTGGTCAATTTTAACCGTTCTGGAATTTCAGGATCAAGGTGTTTCGCACGTGAAATCTAGTTGAATATAATATGGTGACTGCATTTTACTTATAACCCTTTTCCTTATCTTCCAAAGTGTTCAGAATTTCGAACACTTTTCCTACTGGTCCACTTAAATGAAGACTGAACTGTCTTCCATGTGTAGCCGGTCAGTTGGATCTAGATAAGCCGGAATTGTCGCATCTGTCTCATGCTTTCCGTCGTACCCCTAGATCAAAAGTGCCAAGGAAACGATAGAGTAGGAAAACTTCTACACAATTTACACCAGCTTCTCAAGACATTGAATATTGATCGTCGGTGTTACATCCTCCGCTTAATACGGTTTTCACGCAAGGTCAAGCCACCAGAAGCGGTGTATGATGATCCACAAAATTGAGCGGTTGGCAGCAAACAAGGTGTTGCATGGATTTAGGCTTAAGAGAGTAAGGGAAATATTTTCGTTTTATACTTTCAGTCGTTTGAAGTAACAGAGCTTCGTCTGCTAGTCGCGGAGCTAGAACATGAAAAGTCTGGTGCAATGCACTTACATTTAGATCGAGATGACCCTAATAAAACATTTGGGTTTGATAAAATTCATTCATGTTGTATTTACTTCAGTGTTCAGTTCAAGACTTCTCCTACCAATGATTCTGGGATTTCTCACATTTTGGAGCACACTGTTCTCTGCGGTTCCCAAAATTACCCGTGCCGTGACCCATTTATGAAGATGTTGCGCAGAAGCCAGGCCACGTTCATGAATGCCCTAACTGGTAACGCAACCCTGTTGATTTATTGACGTGTTTCAGCTAGTGATTGGACATTATATCCATTCAGCACAATGAATAACACTGATTTTCATAATTTGCTAAAAGTGTATTTGGATGCTGTTTTCAGACCTAAAATGGAAGAACTAGACTTTATGTAAGTTCTCTACTTGCCTTCTTTAAGTATTTAGGCAAGAAGGATGGCGTTTAGAGCCACAAAATCTTGATGATCCGAATTCTGATTTGCTATTAAAAGGAGTAGTCTTGAATGAAATGAAGGGAGTTTTCGTGAGTCGTTTTCCATTTAACTTTTTTTGTTGGAAATTGGGATTTGCTTTTGTGTCAATTTTGTTCTCAGAACTTGTAAACGTCATCGTATCTACCTGTCTAATAAAAATACTGCTTACATTTGATGTGTAAAATTATATTTTTTATGGGCATTTCTGGTAGCTTAATTCAGTTTTCGATATGTTTATTGGCAATTCGTATGGTGGAATCACAGGAGCCAGTGAATGAGATAAATCATTTGGCCTGACATCCACTTTAAAATGCTAATTACACAATTCCTCAGCAATTTCATATTATGTTATCATTTCATCATATTGGGCCATTAACCTTTTGAATCAGTAATGATTGTAGCTGACAATTCTTCGTAACCTAATATGTTTACATTACTTTCAGTCCAATTCCTTAAACCGGTTCGCTTATGCTGTTCAGAACAATTTGTTACCACAGACATACGGTTATGTGAGCGGAGGTCATCCGGAATTTATACCAACGCTGACTCTTCAAAGTCTCAAAAAGTTTCACGAGCAATGTTATCACCCAAGTAACTCATGGTGAGTCTCTTTTTATAAGCGGCGATTCTCTGTTCACATTTTATGCCCAGTTGTCCTTCGAGAGGTGCTTTCGCAGTAGTAAGCTGTGGAGCTGTTTTTCCACTAATCGTCAGTTCTAGGCAGTATCAATATGTAGACTGTGTAATAAGTTATTGCGGTACTGTATGTGACCTTAGGAATTTAAAACCATCTGATAATGCTTACTGAAGTTGATTGTTTTGCGATTTGGTGGAGCTGCTTTACGTTGTAAAAGATCAACGTCGACAGCAACGTTAGGAGCTATTCTTTATCTCTTCTCTCGCAGGCAATACTATATGCAAACGATGAGGTCGTTCGTGTGCCACTGAATTGAATAAATCAAAACGAATAGCTGTACTCATTCCAGTCTCCCCTGATAAATGATTTCACACCATTTATTTCCACTGATTTTTACATTTGACCGTGTCGAAGGATATCACATTAATTAAGAAAGCCTTTTAAGTTAATAAATGAGGATGTAGTTTCTCTGCAGAGTAATATTTACGCAATACTACTGAAGAATTGGGTTGAAATTTGAACGTACACAGGATACTACCATGTTGTTCATTCCTAGCAGTTCGAAGTAGTATACGAGTACTTCTGTAGTTTCAGTGCCAAAATAAGTAAACCACAACCCAAACTAACGTCGATACTTAAACACATGAAACTCTCAAAAAATTTTCTTCATCACCTGATTTCTTTATTTGTAGGTTTTATACCTATGGAAATGTAGACCTCAAGCAGTGTCTTGAGTTTATGGATTCCGAGTACCTTCAGCATTTCGAAGCATTGACACTAGACAATTTAACACCACTAGAAAATATGTGGAATGAACCCGTGAGTTTGTACACTTTCAGTATTCATATTTTGGTCTGTGTTAGACACCCACTTTGATGAACTTGTCACAAAACCGAAAACATTCAAGACCTTTGATTTGCATGAATGGGTGAAGCGTCTCACGTCGCTTTTATGTATGCTTCATTCTGTGTCGTCCAACTACCCTATAGATTTCTAGTATTCCAATTAGTGCTGTAGAGCATCACGTCCCTTTACTAAAAATTACTGGATGACTAGATGTCAAGGCTAATATCCTTCCCTCCTTCTCATTTTGACAGTTCTCTCCACGCCACCTCATGGATATGAGATATGTTTATTGAAGGCGAAAGATACGAAAAATAAGGTGTTTCTAATTGTAGGTGCCTTTGTTCAACCTCTCCTTTTAGGGAAGAGAGATATACGGACAGTAATAATGAGGTCAATCAACATATTATTATTTACGGTTTTTAAAACATCAATCCAATCTGGCATAAATATACTCTCATCACCCGAATCATTGTTTGCTATTATTATCGTGGTCACGAAATTGTAGGATGTTAGTGGCTAAGAGTCCACGACATTGCGACCATAATACCAAAAGATTAAACCATTTTGGGTTAAGTTAGCCAAAAGAATTGAGAATACAATCTTCATTAACTGAACTGTCTCTTAAATTCTCAATGAGATAAACTTTATCTGATAAAACCACTTCATTAACTTACTTTGAGTTAGTGTGAACGATTCTGGTCTGCATTCTAAAGGAATATCAAATATATCGAGGCATGGTAAACATGAAACATCTTCTTCTTTGTTTTGCTTTTCAAGGAGTTGACGAGCTACATTTTAAAAGAGGGAACAATAAAAATGAATCAACGAAATAGGTCAGGACATTAAATCCTGTAAACTTTAAACTAGGACATTTTTGTCTGACTGGCAACAACCGTGTGTCAAAATATCTTCATACATCACTTTAAAATAAAATGAAGTTGTGCGAGACAAGCACTTGCATACTGCCGTTACTAGTATTGCTACTGCTACTGCTATTGCTTTGGACTGAACTGAACTGTACTGTTGAGAACGGTTTTGAGATATGACACCAACAGCCTCCAGTCACTGGTCCTTAGTATCCTGAAGACTCCAACCAGGTAATCTACATCTCCCCCTAAGTGACTCAAACTAGCAGTCGACGAATTCACAAATTGAAGCTATATATTGGTCTGACCACCCTTGACTGAAATCCAATGTCAGTTGACATTGCTCAATGAGGAAAGCGATGATTTGGCATGAGTAACACGTGTCCTAGCCGTCTCAACCGCTGCAGCCGCATTACCCCATTGATTGACTTGCCCTCCTCACCTAGCACTACTCCTAACCTGAGTACCACCACTACCACTACCACTACCACAACCACCATGTTATACCACTTCACACGATAGAAAGAATAAAGACAGTCGCGAAAATGAAGGACGCAATGAAGTGTTATGTAGTGTACAGTACGCACGTCCTTTGACCGATAGTTGAATATCACACCTCCAGCAGAGGTCTTCGAAGTGGGTAAATGCCAGATGGGCATTTTACCTGGGAACTGACATCACGTCGACAACCAGTCAATTAGGACTGATGCGATTTCTCGAATAAGTGAAGTGGCTAACATGTTCAACCATTTTACTCCTCACTACTAAACCAAGAGCTGGAGCAGACCACTCTTGCAACCATCATGTTGCATTTGGCATGGGCGAATCGCGTGTCGAACATACTAAGCCTCCTTCTTAATGGTGTCCAGAAGACTCTGCATTTTGCCAGAATACCATAAGGTCTCACTGCCTTGTCTCGTCTTACACATTAGACAGCTTTCTCAAGCCCAGTTACAGTTGGAGGATCGATGCCCACATCCTGTTCAGGTAGGTGTTGGATGCTGGGCAATTTCATTGTAGATGTAGGTAAGTTGAATTGCTTCTCAAATATTCCAGTTGTCGTCTATCCTGACAGGTAACTAAACTACCGTATTTGTAGAAAATCCTACCACATAACATTGCTTTTCTACAGCTCTTTTCTTGATGAGTCGGAATAGTTATCTGCTATTACCCACCTCTAGGGAATTTCATGTCTCTTCTGCTTTCTTCCCTCATCACTGCTCACGGTTGTTGCTAAGACTTTTAGTCAACTTGCTTTTGAGCAGCTTTTGCCTCTACTAGTTCGGATGAAGATACACAAATTCACTGACACTTACTAACCTTCAGCTGCAGGTTATCAACAATCTTTACCACTGTTTGCACAGTAGACTGGGTATGATGCCAGGCGTTCTAAGGATGTGTGTGTGTGTGCATCAGTGTCGATGTCAGATACGCGTTCAGTTGCTACTTTTTACTAGTCCTTTACAGTTGATTCATAAGGTAGTAGCTCTTATTTGAATTAGAATGACACGTCATTTTATCAGAGGTATATTCAATCAGGTGACTAGTTGTCCCATCATTAATAAAGGACAGTTCTCATTGTTACTATTTTCCTTTAGAGATCCATCGAGTTATCGTGTGAACCAGATCCAATGACCCCGCATCCGGAACGCCAATGTTGTGTGTCTCTTAGCTTTCGTTTAGATGAGTAAGTCTATATGTATGATTTTTGTTGGACAATATTTTAGTTTCAGTACTACTAAACACTCGTGTGAACACAAACTAGTGCTACCAGCTACCCACACGTAACGGCTAGTAAGTGGACTTATGATCTAGTAAACTAATTAGCCTGATTCGGTTTCAAACCCTCTTTACTCACTGTAGTTGAGTACCTCTCTAGCTGGGAATTATTGATGTAACACGTGATGTTATTTACTGTATGACAATCGAAGTTGGCAGATTTCTCACGAGTACATGGAGATAAAAAGTAAAAGGGGTGAAAGGTGAAAAAAGACACGAAAGTCTTATATGATGCATGTGCGATAATATGAATTGGTAAAAGGTGTACACCTTACGAAGTAGGCCAAGTTACAGTAGAACAAAACTATGGTTATCAGAATAGAGAAGCTTATAAGGGTTGTGTACTTATAAGATGCTGTTTAAAGTGGAAGTGACGGACGAAGCGATGTAGAACTTAGCACTGAGGTGCCTCACGTTGGAAAGCCTACAAAATTAAGTAGTGAGAATGGTATCACTATAGAAAAACATGGGTGCAATGAAGAGATTAATGGAAACTATGAAGATGTGTATACACTTATGTAATTGTGAACGATCATTAATCATATCATCAAGAACTTGTTTTCGGTTTCGAAGCGTATTACTGCTTAAGGTGCACCTTTACACGTGAATGTAATTGTAATATCTTGACATGCATCACACAATAATAATGCAACAAGAAAAATTGGGTAGAGAGTGAAGAAGGACTTCGTCCGGAAAATAAGCTACTTTATTTAACAAAGTAATACAACATTCGTTTATAATTGTTAGAAAGGGAAGAAAGAAGGGAATTGCAGCACGCACACCGTTGATTGTGATTCTTGGACATAACCATAACATTTCGAGCCACCGAATCGTGTTGTCTTTGGGACCCCAATTAGGGAGCTGTGACGTACCAACCGATGCTAGCTTAACACTAGTATCCTCCACTCCACATCGCCATGTTATAGGCTGACCGCTTCTGCGCTTCTTCCATCCATCCCAGGGCTAGTGAACAGAGACCGGTACGGACGTCTCTGGGATGATGTACGTAACACATGTCCAAGCTACCGAAGCTTGTGTTTCCAGATGATAACACTCAGTTAATGGTGATCTCCTCTGTGTCCACACACGCTGCCGGACCTCAGAATTACTCACACGATGATGCCATCGAATGCAAGCAATTCTAAGGAAGCAGTGATAGTCGAATATGCAGAGCCACTGCACGTTCGCAGCTCGGAAAGATCAGGTTTCGCATGCGTAGGGCAAGGCTACGCGTATCAAAGCGTTTTAAACTCAACCTTTGACCAGCAGGCTAACGGTACCAGGCGTCTCAAATTAGCGTATGCCACCCTAGCTTTCATGATACGTTTGGGAATCTCGTCTGTCATATATCCGCCAACACTCACACAAATACCCAGATACATGGACTTATCGACAACTTCAAACTGTTTGCCTGCAAGTATAGACTCCTGTCAATCTTGTAACAGTACCTTGCACGGCTCAAAGCAAACACCATACCTACAGACAGTGATCGCCCACTGATTAAGTGCGATTTAGGCAACCTGCAAGCTATCACACAGTAAGACGATATCGTCTGCATACTCGAGGTTGAAAAGTCTTTCTCTAGAAAGCAAGTCTACACCACCACCACCCATGTCCTTCATAGCTGACTTCAGAACATCATTAATAGTAAAGTTAAAGAGAAATGGGGGAGATTAGGCGACCCTGTCTAACCCCACTGTTGGTTGGGGCAGTGACGACAGTAAATAATACTGTTTCACTGTGTAATACATCTAATAAACAAACTAATATGGAGTTAGTTGTATGTCCTCACTCTACCTGAGGTGTTTCTGTATAGGACTTTCAGGATGGTAACAAACTTCTTGGGTTCACCCCTCTTTAGCAGACAGTCCTAGAGAAAAAGTTCTGTCCAACGAATCGATGGCAGCCCTAATATCAAGAAACATAACCATTGTTGGCCTACAATACGTGTGATGGTTTACCAACAAGTGACGAAGGGTGAGCATATGATCAATACATCCGCGGTCTGAACGAAACCCAACCTGCGAAGCAAGACAGCTTCCAATATATTAGACTCAACTCGTAGCAAACTGATTGTCATTTGTGTTAAGTCGATGCTTCTCAATGATGGGGAGGATAGTAACTTCATTTCACATTTGATGGAAATTTCCCTCAATTTCCCATACCTTCCTGAACAAACTGGTCAAAGCCACGACGTCTTTCTGCATGACGCCTTGCAGATGTACCTAATCTTTATCTATACTACTTGTAGGGTTGCTAACTAGCTAAAACTGCAATTCGGCCTGTTACTTTAAGGAGGTAGCAGGTGCTACCATCCTGCTCACATTAACAAGTGAATGACGCCGTTTTTGAACCCCCACCATGAATGTGCCTCAGAAAGAGCGGCAGTTCGGTATGCATCATCGTCATCAGGAACTTATAGCAATATGATCAATCTGAGTCCAGGCTAAATTCATAGGGGTTGGATGTTAGGTAACCCTACGGCAATGGCTGTACTGGAAGTTAGTGCTGGCTAGTAACATATTGTGATCTGCGCAAAGCTGAAGAAGACGGTCCCCATTATTTGACCTGCGACCATGTAATCCCCACTGACCATCTAGACGACTCTCCTCTGGGCCTGGACGTCCAACTTGTGCATTCAAGTCCCCAGCCAGCATGACGATATCTCTCTGATGCGCCTGTTTCAGTGTAGGGCTCAATTAGTTGTAAAACTCGTCCTTAATTTAATCCAGGCTACGATCCGTCGGTGGATAGGTAAAGACAACAAATTGGCACCGCCTATCTGGCCTACCGCTTCTTGCTCTCGTATAACCTACCAGCCTCATAGCAAATAGATAAGCCCTCCTCTTCCAAAGGGGGAAGATATTCGAAGCAATTCACTGTGGTCTCAAATGCGGATCTCCGAAGCGCAGCAGACATCAATGACGAGGCTTTCCAATGTTCTTACCAAACCTATCTGTTGTCCGATTTGCCTCAGTGTCCGGACATTGTAAGTGGTAAGCTTGAACGCGGCCCGCGATTTCAAGATAGCTGTCACAGCGGGGACCTGCATTTTGAAAGCTACTCACTGACATCTCGAAACTGCTCAGATAGACTGAAAATTCAGACAAAGGCGAGAGGCTGACGAAAATGAGGACATCATTTATGGTAAAAATAAAACCTCAAAGTGTATGTATAAAAATAGGGTTAAAAAGAATCACGTCGATAAAATATCATCATTGTTCGTGAGCGTGTGATTAATTTTCCTCATTATTTGTTGTTTCATTGTTAGCGCGAGGACTGCTATACTACCCGGGCTCCAGGACGGAAGCAGGTGGTTGTCTTAATGGACCACCCTCCAAGCCTTTGACTTGGAGTCTAATCCGCAAGGCAGCGGAGAAGCGTCAGGAGATACATTGTTGCCAGCGACCTTCGCAGGTTCGTACACCATTCGGTCTGATTGGATTCTCAAACCCATGTACCTCATGGCAACCACTTTTAGTCTAACCGCTATCTAAACAACCTCCCTGACGTAGTACGACCTTCAGGAACATAAGTACCAGCCGGGGTAGCTTGCCGGGTCACTGCGGTTTGCAAGGCCGAACACCGTAGCAAGGTAGTAGTTATCGACAGGAGAGAACAGCGCGTTAATGTTTAAACATCTGCTTTAGTGAGATACAGAGGTACTATGGGCCTTAGTTTTAATGGTCTAGGTGGTTCATTAGAACAGGCAAACCTTATCAGAATTCAAAGTAGTAGCTACGATCCGACTTGATTGTGAAAACATTTAACGATTATGCAAGTCAACAATGGATTTTTATTTATTCACTTCCACCACTCTGATATATAATGAAATCATTGTTCGTATATCCCGTCTTACTCGACTGGAAATGGAATACTGAGAGTAAAATTTGATTTTGTTGACTATCTTTCCACCGAAATTGTTTCTGCAACAAATTTAAATACCATTTTCACTTCGTATCATCGAGTTTTGTCAGGTTATTAGTCAATTTAGGCGTTCCAGGGATGGAGATTAGTTGCATTCTCTTTCTTTGGTTAGGGATTCTTGGCATTTTGGATGAATTTTATGTAATATATGTGATTGACTCAAGTTTATGAGCTTGTTACTAAACGTGCCTCGCTAACCTCGTAAAACACATGAATAATTATCTGCGAGAAGCAACCTGGGTTTCATCCAAATCGGGGATTTACTGAATAACTTCTTAGGACTTAACACAAGGATTTCACCTCTTCACTGAAGACTATAACAATTAGTATCTTCTGTCGATTGGCTGGAATCCTGTTTAATTTCCATGTCTCAATTAAAATATCATTCAGTTTACCGCGCGCCAGGCCCCCGAGTGAAATATAAGTGGGAAGCGATGAGTGGATCGTCCAAAGGTGAAATGGAATAGCTGAGAGATCATGAGCAGTCGTGGGTCCAGGTGAAGAGGACGGCAGAAAATAGAACAAAGTGATGTGTTGTTAAAGCCCTAAGTTCAACTGGGAACCCAAAGGAATAATAAATAATTAACTGTTTAAAGTTTAGTGAAATGTTGTTTGAAAGGCATTGATTTAATATTATGTATTGGTTAAAAGTTTATACTTGCTTTGTGTTACTAATTAATTGTATAGCAGAAGCTTTATACTTATTCCTAATCTTTCTTATTTCAGTATTCGCAATGTTTACACGAATTTTGTGCTCGGTATAGTATGCAGTTTGTTGCTCGATGGGGACAATGCACCATTATATCGTGGTTTGATAGAATCAGGATATGGATTAGATTGGATTGATAACATCAACGGAATTGACCGCGGAACCCGCACTACGAGTTTTCACGTTGGAGTGCAAGGTGTTAGGGCTGATGACCTTGAAAAATTCCCCAATTTGGTTATGGATATTGTATCTGAAGTGGTTCGGTACGATTTGTACTTTTCTAATGGCATAATTATATTAGTGTCTTTAAATCCTACCCCAGTTTAAATTTATGTACGACTATTCAACATGATTAATGTAATAAGAACCATTCACTCAATAAAATAGAGATAAATAGAAGATTGTACAAGTACACCGTTAACGAGTGATGTGCGATGTATATATATATATATATATATAGAAAACCACACAAGTGGTCCTGGGTTTTATACCCAGCTGATGCACTCCTAAACCTCCATAAGTCGGTAGTATAGACTGGTAAAGAGGGAAGGTTGGACATAAGGCTAGCAACCTAACCCCGTAAAAATAGAACCACTGCTACCGAAACTTCAGAAGCTCAATACGCTTAAAGCCCTATATTCCACTCGGAACTTAGAGGAATAAAGTTAAAGTAATTTGTAGTGATTTTCTCTTTAGCTTTATAATAAATTTGGAAGCATCTTGGTGTGCATTGTAAGTGGTAGTATTTTGAAAAATACAGACAGTATTCCTCTTCATTCTTGAGAAAAATTTCAATCAGCTCTTTATTATCTGTTGTGCAGTAGCAAATTTCGTTAGGAAAATCTCAAATTCTTTCCTTCGGTTGCGTTAATGATGATCTCGTATTTTTTTCTAATCTTTGTATTACACGGCATTCTATGCTTAATTGTACATAGACGGGTAGAAGAAAAAGTATCCTTATAATTTCAGATATCAGGTGTGACAAGGTATTTAATTAATTTGTTCATTCATTTTTAAAGAGATGGTTTTCCAAAAGAACGTGTTGAAGCAACACTTCATCAATATGAATTGGCAGTACGTCATGAATCAGCTCGTTTCGGTTTGAATTTAATTATGAGTTTATCAAACGCAGTTAACCATGAAGTTGATGTCAATGAATTCCTGCAAATCGGATCCATTATAAAACGATTTCGTGACGAATGGGTAGAAAATCCAACCATTCTTCAAAGTATTACCCAGCAATATTTCTTGGTATGTCACTGTGCTTTTAAAATCGGTTTTCATTTTGCTTAATAACTATTGTTTTATTATTAAGGATGTATTCAAATTGCAGGTCAGGTGAAAAGTCAATGTCAATAGGAATCCAATAAAAAAGTGCTTCTTCTACTTTCATATGTAGCGCTATTTTTAATCTTAAAACCGTAAGAATTAGTCAACATTGTCTGGCTATCAGTATAAGTATTTCATTTAAATCAGTAGACCATTTATGCTTCTAAATTACCATCTGTTCAAATATTTTATTGACAACTGCGAACGGAGGGAATGTTTGTTTGTTTATTCCCCCTTTTTATTGTATAATAGTACAAGTTGTGAAAGCAGCTTTTGTAATTGGTCTTACCTGTTTATCAAACGTATATTAGTGGTTTGAGGTAGGATTAACAGATACCTTTTAATAATTATTCTGAACTTTGCTGAAAAAAACTCAAGTACAGAAGATTTAATGAAGTAATTGAGACACGAGTACTAGCGAATTCAAATATCCTGGATTATTTTCATTTCAAAAAGAAACGTCAAAACGTAATGCAAAAAACAAGGTGACGCTTACATTAGTAAATCTATTCAGCAGTAGACTTTCTCAGCATACTGTTCCTAATATCTGTATTGGATACGATAACATGCCTCGACCGATATCTGATACCTTGACTTGGGGGTTGGGCTCCCATACCGCAATGATCCAACAAGCTACACTGGCTGGAACTAACGTTCCCACAGGCCCTACCATGCCAGAAAGATTGTAAGGATAGTGATCAGACTAAAGGCAGTTACCGGCATAGTGTAGGACGTTTTTTACACTATACCGGGGATCTCTGGGCAAAGTCGTACTGCTGGGGAACAGGGGTGTAACAGCAGTAAGATGTCTACCTCAGATGACCAGCATGGTACCTATGCTGTCTCTCCACTCTGAAGAGAGGCGGTTAGAAAAGGACCACCCCAAACCTTTTACATCCCGACTCACTGTACTGTGGTCCGTAGCCGTCGGAACCAGAGACTATCGATGGTGGTGGAACCGGCATTACTAGCTGATATAAGTGCAGATTGGAAAAGAGTAAGTGGTGGCCAAACAAAAACTTGGCATCAATCCATGAAATCCCTGACAGTTAAACTGAGTCAGGTAGGGAGATGCAGACTTCCGCGTTGGGGCCTTCGGGACTCTAAGAATGAATGGCTGGAGACACTAGGTGATATGGCTCAAAATCGTTGTCAGTGGCGCAGATGTATTCAGTCTCTGTAATCTTTCATATTCCTTTCTACCATTACTCATTCTGTTTCACTCTTATACCTGTCAAAACTCTATCGATTCTCTTCACTCATTTTCTTGTCTACCTGTGTGTGCTATTTGGAACGTGGCAACTCGAACTGCTGCATTTCGGTGCCAAGTTCTATGTTGAATCCAGCCAGCCGTCGGAACCAAACTAAAAAGCCAGTTCTTTCTGTTTCATGTGCCTCAAGAATTAATCAACTTCCACGATGTAAGCAGCCGGGAGGTAGCAACCGCCCACACACTTCCAAAAGTACACGAAGCACTCCTGATCATCCTCCTCTATCCCTGTCACCCTCATCATCTTGTTTTTCTTATACTGTCAGTACTACTCTGCAGGCTAATCAGTTATCTTCATTTTACTCTGTGACCACAAACAACTATTAGAGCTATAGAAATACCCCCGACTGTCTCTTAAAGCCACGCCACCAACTTCACATTGGAACGTTTAACGTCAGGACCCTCCACCAAATCGGGCAACAGGCATCACTAGCAAGAACTCTGGCATCTCGAGCCATGGGTGTATGTTGTGTTTCGGAGACACGCATACAAAACCATAGTGTGGTCATTTACTTAATCCCACTCGGCCAGAACGGCGAATCTGCAAAATTCGTTTTAAGGGCGTCAGGAGATTCCTCAACTAGTTCTCGAGGACTCGCAGCTGTGGGGAAAGTATTGAGTGTTAGGGTAGAAAAATCACTTCTTGACTGGATCCCGGTAGATAGTCGTATGTGTGCAGTATGTCTGAACGGGTTCGTTAGAAGAAGGGAGGATGGCGTTATCAGTCGTTGTCTTTTCATAGTCTCCGCTTACGCCCCAACCGACTGCATTTCGGATGAACTAAAGTATGATTTCTACCTGAAACTGTCCAATTTGCTGCAAAAAGCAAAACGCTCAGATATAATTGTTTTAGCAAGCGACTTCAACGCTCAAGTAGGGAAGTTATGCCGGACTGAGAAGTATATCGGTGGTACGTACGAAGTCCCCTGCCGACAAACCGAAAACGGTGACCGTCTTCTGCAGTTCTGTTGGGATAATCGTCTGTTCCTAGTCAGCACTAACTTGAGACTCAAAGAGAGACATTGCCTAACCTGGTGACCTTCATCTCCAGATTAACGTTGGACCCAAATAGACCACATGGCGATAGGGTATCGTTGGCGAGGATCAGTAGAAGACTGCCACCCCTTCTGGAATGCATGTGTAGACATGAAAAGATTAGCTGTCTTTGATCATAGGTACCTGAGTTCTCTCTCCCGTGTGAAGTGGTATAATAAGGTGAGCAATACTGAGGTTTGGCGTCGAGTGCTAGGTAAGGAGGGGAAATCAATGGACGAGGCTGTGAAATTACATCGACTGAGATGGTTAGGACATGTGTTACGTATGTCTAGCCATCGACGTGCAATGTTAGCTGACATACGGTCAGGTTGGAAAAGTGCTAGCCAGTGGTGGTCAAACCAAAACATGGCTTCATCAGTCAAAGTGATCCACAACAGTTAGTTTAAGTCACGTAAGAAGGTGTCGACTTCCTGGTTGGGGTCCTTGGAACGGTAAACACCAATGGCTGGAGACAATTAGTGATATGGCTGAAAATCGTTCTCAATGGCTGAAGCGGTTATATGCATCCACTCCTTGTTACTTATCATAGCCAATAAAACTATTTTCTTCGATATTACCATTCTTTTAGCCTCATATCTCTGTTTACTGTCTCTGTTTTGCATTCCTTACTTTATTCTCTGGCTTTGTGTGCTGAGTGAAGTGTGGTGACTCAAACTGCTGCACATCGGTGCAAAGTTCTGTGTTGAAGTCACTCAGTCAGTAGACTCTGATCACACCCTGGTTCGCACTTACTACTAAACAGACGTAAAAAATTGTTGGCAACGAAGCAGTTACTTCCTCTACTAGATCGAGACTCGGAGTTCCTACTTAGGGAAGAAATAGTGAAACGCGTACCTGAGGTCGGCAGCAGGACTACTCCTGAGGAAGTCAGGCACAAAAAACAGCTGTAAGAGCTGTTATTAACCTAAAGCCAAAAGTTAGTAAGAGTCAGTGGGTTTCTACTACCTCATCCGAACTGATTGATGCAGGAAGACTGATTCGGGCGAGCTCCGAATATGATGAGCGAAAGCCGCTCAAAAGCAAACTAACAAGAAGTCTTCGTAACGACCGTGAACAGTGGTGGGCGACAAAAGAGATAGGTAACACCAGATAACTATTTAGACTTACTGTGGAAACAGGTGGCAAATGATAAGTGAAACAATCTCTGAGAAAAATGGCACCATAATTAGCTCCCAAGATAGACAACTGGAAGTTGGAAAGAACACTTTGAGGAGCAGTTTGTTTGGCCTATAGCCACGCTCAACCTGCCTTACATCCAACACCTCCATGCATGGGATATAAACACAGGTCCTCCTTCCCTAACTGAGCTTACAAAAGTTGTCACTAGTCTCAAACGAGGCGAAGCTGTGCGGCTCGTTGGAATGACTCCAGAGGTGTTTAAGTACGGTGGAGACGGTTTACTGTCTGCGTTAACTAAGGTGTTAGGCAGCTTCTGGGAATCAGAGGAAGTCTCGTCGGGCTGGTGTAAGTCATTGATTATCCTGATATACAATAAGGGAGACAAGTTTTTCTGTGATAATCATAAGGGGATTAGCTTGACCAACATGGTATCTAAAGTTCTAGGCTCAATAATCATGTGTAGACTAAGTGGTGCTCAGGAGGAACAAACATGAGAGAACCAGGCAGGCTTTAGACCAGGAAGAGGTTGTGTCGATCACAGCTTTACCCTTCGACAGATTCTGGAACATAGGCATACTTACCGGCGTCCAACAATCGTTATATTTCTTGACCTAAAGGCGGCATTCAACTCTGTCGACTGAGATGTACTCTGACGATGTTTGGCTGTAAAGGGAATGCCGAGGAAATACAATGCACTGATCAAGGCACTCTACTCGATATCATGCAGCCAGTCAGGTGAGGGCTTATGGAGAGTTGTCATCTGAAGTGGTGTCCGTCAGCGATGCCCACTATCCTCATTTCTATTCGATCTCATCATAAGTGTACTAGTGGACTTAACCCTAACTCACTTCAGAGACTCAAGGATTGACTTGTTACTAGGGAATAATCTTGTCGACGTAGAATATCCAAATGATGTAGTCCTTCTAGGTGAAGATGCTGACAAAATGCAGAGTCTTCTGAACACCTTGAGCTGCAATCTGTGAATGTTTGGCATGCGATTTGCCCTCTTTGTCAAATGTGAGTTGATGCTACAGGACTGGACTACATTGACTCCTAGCTTAGAAATAGGAAGTGAAGTGGTAGAGCGTGTTGACCACTTCACTTATTTGGGAAGTTGTATCAGCCCCAACGGGTTGGTCGCTGACGAAATCTCAGCACGTATACAGAAGGCTAGTTTCGCATACGCCGTCCCTGGCGTAGACGTGATATCCGACTGTCGACCAAAGGGCGTGTGTACTGCTCAGCAGTCCGTTCCGTCCTCCTTTATGGCTGTGAGCAAGACATGGCCATTGAGAGTGGAAGACATGAAAAGGCTAGGTAGCTGTCTTTGATCATAGGTGCCTGCATTCTATCTCCCGTATGAAGTGGTATAATAGGATGAGCTATATTGAGGTGAGGCGTCTGTCGAGTGCTAGATAAGGAGGGGAAATCAATCGACGAGGTTGTGAAGCAGCTGCATCGATTGAGATGGTTAGGACATGTGTTAAGCATGCGTAGCAATCGATCGCCTTCCTCTATGGGCGATGTTAGCTGACATAGGATGGATCAGGCTGGAAAAGAGTTAGCTAGTAGTGGTCAAGCCAAAACATGGCCTCATCAGTCAGTGAAATCCATAGCAGTTAGTACAAGTGATCCAACCAAGTCGGGAGGTGTAGACTGGCTTCCTGACTGGTTGAGGTCCTCAGTATAGTAAAAACCAATGGCTGGAGACAATTGGTGATATGGCTCAAAATCCTCGTTGTGAGTGGCGCAGATGCATTCACTCCTTGTGATTTGTCGTATCCAATGAAGCTCTGTTATTTTTTCACATTGCTATTCTATTTCTCTCACACTTCTGTTAATTATCTCTCTTTTGAATCTCTGTTTATTGTCTTCTTTTGCTTTGTGTGCTACATGGTGTGTGACAACTCGAACTGGTACACATCTGTGTAAAGTTTTAAGTTGAAACCAGTCAGTCTGTGATTGGTTCATGCGCACAAACCAATACCTTGGACTAGGAATGTATTAGATTTATAATGCGGTATCTCAGTGAGATCAGTACCCATACATTTGACACACTCACGGAAGATGACGACGGATTAAGATAAATTCGGTGAAATACTCATCTACCTAAAACAACGTCAGCACAAGTCGATTACGTTTTATTCAATTTATTATTTTGATTTTTATTGTTTCGATTATGAATTAGTCTTGTTCTCTGAGTTGTGTGCAGACATTGGTGAAAAGAGTTCCAACACACTAGTACTCAGGTATTGAAGAGAATGGGGAAAAAATACCTACTAATCGTCTTCAAAAAGAATGAATACCCGCACAGTTTCGTGAAAAAGTGTTTAGACTCGATTCACCAACAAGAAACCATCAATATAGACTACAAGAGAATTCATTCTACCACATATTTAAAGAATTTTTGAAATAACAGTTCGAATATTAAGAACATTTGAAGTAGATATAGCACACAAGTCAACCAACACAATCACTCAATACGATATTGTGCAAACCAGAAGATCCACCACGAAAAGAAGATAAAATTAATACTAATTCACAAATTAAATTGTTTGAACTGCAATAAACATTAGATCGGTCAAAGTGGGCGTCTCCTTCGTGTCCAAATCCAAGGACATAAATCAGCTGTGAAAAGACACGATATGTGTTTTCTCATATCAATGCACGTAGATGTTTATGGATATCAATTTGATTGGGATATTGCAGAAGTTTCAAATATAAGAAGCACCAAAATGCCATGAAATTTCTAAAAGGCTGGTAGTGAAGTGAATTAGCAATTAAAGAACACATTACGATAGACCAAATTTAGCAGCTAATAAAATTTAAATCACGTGTTAACAAAGTTCGAATTCCAACCCAATAAAAACGATCAATGGGAACGTAAATAAGCAACCAGTTACGACAATGGTCGCCAGAAGATACAGTCATATCATTCATGGAGAATTCAAATGAGTTCATTCGATACTAAAGTCTGAGCTGAAGATGTTGTCTAGTTGCCTGCTCCGCAATTAAATCAACCAGCTCAGAAACCATAACTAATTTAATATAATCCACCTGAGCTAGAAATCTTGTCCATTGTTTCGATTTTGTAAACACATTATTATTAAATCATATTTATTGCATAACGCTTAATCTACTGTTTGTTTATCGGTAATAGTTCTTGACACTATGGAAGACATTTGTTCGTGTTAGAGATGCATACATAACCGTTAACGATGTTCAGGATCACATCTGGAGACATTTACCCAATGCTCAATAAAATAATTTTGTTCTAATTTTTTGCGTTTGCCATAGAAAACTATTCTGTCATTTTATGCGTCATCTTTGTGGTCTGCTCATTTCCAAGGATGGTGTTTTTTGATTGGAGTGTTACGGGATGTAGTAGTGACCTCAGAGATTAGTTCGGATACAAAATTGTTTATGATTTTTACTTAAATAATCTCAGTGTTTACAAAATTTTGAACCAGATTTTTCTGAACGATTCGTTGTTTATGAGCCAAAACTACTCCAGCAAAATTGTTAGGATATTATTAAAAATCTAAATATCTTGTTAAGTGTTACATAAACTGAAATAAAACAAGGATTATAAAAAAGTAATTTTTCAAAAATTCATCAGACATAACGCTCGAATTGTTTGAAGGTGTATATGCATCACCTATGGACTGAAAATTTATGAAGAATGTTAATTTCCACTGCTCCACGTCAATGCACTATTAAGTAATCCTGAATTTTCTAAATGGAAGCCTAATTAATTGGTATCTTTAATCAGCCTAGCTTATAGTTAAGCTATACAATCAGACTTCTTGCAGGATAGTAATAACGGTGGCATCGCATTGATTAATGACTAAATTTAAGTTGTCTCGGCAGAAATTACTGAAAACTCATGTGTATATTAAATTCGGCGTTTCCTTTTCCTTTAGGACAACAAACATAGGCTGACAACAATAATGCGTTCGGATCCCAGTTGGAAGGCTGTGGAAGCAAAAAAGGATGAAGAGAACTTGATTAAATTAACAAAAGATATCACTCCCTCAGATAAGGAGACACTAACATCTAAAGGTAAGTGCTCAACGGTATGCCTATTATGAAAGATTCATAGCATAATTGCTTATTATGAATTGTTTTTATCCCGTACAGTACATGCATCCGCGTTCCCTTATGATGGAAACATTGTACCTTTGTATGCGTTTCCGATGTGTGGCAACTTGTGTGGACTACGTCACATCAGTGCTAAGTTCTACATCGCTTCGTCCATCACTTCCATTAAAAGTGTGGTGAGAGCTGGTTGCAAACATGCCAAAATTGTAAACAATAATTTACATGTGTTACGTCCGGAATCAGACTCATCAGAAAAACGATAAGAAACCTTAACCTTGAGGAAATCACCAGCCAACCACAGAGGGGTTAAAGCGTGGAAATATGATTCACAGATATATAGCTTCATTTTTTTAAAAACGGCCAGAAGGGTATAACAATAACCTTCAGCAAAAAAAACAGCCAATCAGAGGAGGCTGCTCTCCGCTAATAATAATCTACATTAAAATTTATAAATACCTCTTGACTATCTCAATAAACAATCTGTTGCCTGCACCTTGTCTTCTGTCGTCACAAAAGCAGCACCTTATAAGCACACAACCCTTATAAGCTTCTCTGTTCTGATAACCATAGTTTTGTTCTACTGTAACTTGGCCTACTTCGTAAGGTGTACACCTTTTACCAATTCATATTATCGCACATGCATCATATAAGACTTTCGTGTCCTTTTTCACCTTTCACCCCTTTTACTTTTTATCTCCATGTACTCGTGAGAAATCTGCCAACTTCGATTGTCATACAGTAAATAACATCACGTGTTACATCAATAATTCCCAGCTAGAGAGGTACTCAACTACAGTGAGTAAAGAGGGTTTGAAACCGAATCAGGCTAATTAGTTTACTAGATCATAAGTCCACTTACTAGCCGTTACGTGTGGGTAGCTGGTAGCACTAGTTTGTGTTCACACGAGTGTTTAGTAGTACTGGAACTAAAATATTGTCCAACAAAAATCATACATATAGACTTACTCATCTAAACGAAAGCTAAGAGACACACAACATTGGCGTTCCGGATGCGGGGTCATTGGATCTGGTTCACACGATAACTCGATGGATCTCTAAAGGAAAATAGTAACAATGAGAACTGTCCTTTATTAATGATGGGACAACTAGTCACCTGATTGAATATACCTCTGATAAAATGACGTATCATTCTAATTCAAATAAGAGCTACTACCTTATGAATCAACTGTAAAGGACTAGTAAAAAGTAGCAACTGAACGCGTATCTGACATCGACACTGATGCACACACACACACACATCCTTAGAACGCCTGGCATCATACCCAGTCTACTGTGCAAACAGTGGTAAAGATTGTTGATAACCTGCAGCTGAAGGTTAGTAAGTGTCAGTGAATTTGTGTATCTTCATCCGAACTAGTAGAGGCAAAAGCTGCTCAAAAGCAAGTTGATCAAAATTCTTAGCAACAACCGTGAGCAGTGATGAGGGAAGAAAGCAGAAGAGACAGAAAATTCCCTAGAGGTGGGTAATAGCAGATAACTATTCCGACTCATCAAGAAAAGAGCTGTAGAAAAGCAATGTTATGTGGTAGGATTTTCTACAAATACGGTAGTTTAGTTACCTGTCAGGATAGACGACAACTGGAATATTTGAGAAGCAATTCAACTTACCTACATCTACAATGAAATTGCCCAGCATCCAACACCTACCTGAACAGGATGTGGGCATCGATCCTCCAACTGTAACTGGGCTTGCGAAAGCTGTCTAATGTGTAAGACGAGACAAAGCAGTGAGACCTTATGGTATTCTGGCAAAATGCAGAGTCTTCTGGACACCATTAAGAAGGAGGCTTAGTATGTTCGACACGCGATTCGCCCATGCCAAATGCAACATGATGGTTGCAAGAGTGGTCTGCTCCAGCTCTTGGTTTAGTAGTGAGAAGTAAAATGGTTGAACATGTTAGCCACTTCACTTATTCGAGAAATCGCATCAGTCCTAATTGACTGGTTGTCGACGAGATGTCAGTTCCCAGGTAAAATGCCCATCTGGCATTTACCCACTTCGAAGACCTCTGCTGGAGGTGTGATATTCAACTATCGGTCAAAGGACGTGCCTACTGTACACTACATAACACTTCATTGCGTCCTTCATTTTCGCGACTGTCTTTATTCTTTCTATCGTGTGAAGTGGTATAACATGGTGGTAGTGGTAGTGGTGGTACTCAGGTTAGGAGTAGTGCTAAGTGAGGAGGGCAAGTCGATCAATGGGGTAATGCGGCTGCAGCGGTTGAGACGGCTAGGACACGTGTTACTCATGCCAAACCATCGCTTTCCTCATTGAGCAATGTCAACTGACATTGGATTTCAGTCAAGGGTGGTCAGACCAATATATAGCTTCAATTTGTGAATTCGTCGACTGCTAGTTTGAGTCACTTAGGGGGAGATGTAGATTACCTGGTTGGAGTCTTCAGGATACTAAGGACCAGTGACTGGAGGCTGTTGGTGTCATATCTCAAAACCGTTCTCAACAGTACAGTTCAATTCAGTCCAAAGCAATAGCAGCAGCAGTAGCAATACTAGTAACGGCAGTATGCAAGTGCTTGTCTCGCACAACTTCATTTTATTTTGAAGTGATGTATGAAGATATTTTGACACACGGTTGTTGCCAGTCAGACAAAAATGTCCTAGTTTAAAGTTTACAGGATTTAATGTCCTGACCTATTTCGTTGATTCATTTTTATTGTTCCCTCTTTTAAAATGTAGCTCGTCAACTCCTTGAAAAGCAAAACAAAGAAGAAGATGTTTCATGTTTACCATGCCTCGATATATTTGATATTCCTTTAGAATGCAGACCAGAATCGTTCACACTAACTCAAAGTAAGTTAATGAAGTGGTTTTATCAGATAAAGTTTATCTCATTGAGAATTTAAGAGACAGTTCAGTTGATGAAGATTGTATTCTCAATTCTTTTGGCTAACTTAACCCAAAATGGTTTAATCTTTTCGTATTATGGTCGCAATGTCGTGGACTCTTAGCCACTAACATCCTACAATTTCGTGACCAGGATAATAATAGCAAACAATGATTCGGGTGATGAGAGTATATTTATGCCAGATTGGATTGATGTTTTAAAAACCGTAAATAATAATATGTTGATTGACCTCATTATTACTGTCCGTATATCTCTCTTCCCTAAAAGGAGAGGTTGAACAAAGGCACCTACAATTAGAAACACCTTATTTTTCGTATCTTTCACCTTCAATAAACATATCTCATATCCATGAGGTGGCGTGGAGAGAACTGTCAAAATCAGGAAGGAAGGAAGGATATTAGCCTTGACATCTAGTCATCTAGTAATTTTTAGTAAAGGGACGTGATGCTCTACAGCACTAATTGGAATACTAGAAATCTATAGGGTAGTTGGACGACACAGAATGAAGCATACATAAAAGCGACGTGAGACGCTTCACCCATTCATGCAAATCAGAGGTCTTGAATGTTTTCGGTTTTGTGACAAGTTCATCAAAGTGGGTGTCTAACACAGACCAAAATATGAATACTGAAAGTGTACAAACTCACGGGTTCATTCCACATATTTTCTAGTGGTGTTAAATTGTCTAGTGTCAATGCTTCGAAATGCTGAAGGTACTCGGAATCCATAAACTCAAGACACTGCTTGAGGTCTACATTTCCATAGGTATAAAACCTACAAATAAAGAAATCAGGTGATGAAGAAAATTTTTTGAGAGTTTCATGTGTTTAAGTATCGACGTTAGTTTGGGTTGTGGTTTACTTGTTTTGGCACTGAAACTACAGAAGTACTCGTATACTACTTCATTCTGGTGGGCTTGAACAACTTAATGTAATCGTATGTGATATCGCAGTTGAAAATTCTTCTTCCCTCCTTTAGAGTAATACTAGCTAGAGATGTTATTAGTTTTTAGAAATTATCGGTGCTTGTCGTGAATTGTTTTTTCTAAACCACTAGAAAAGGAATATTTGATATGTTACAGTTTTCCTTCTGTTAATGTGTTGCTACGATGGAAAATAAAATTTATAATTCAGCAGTATGGTTTATTTGTGAATGTGTGTTGGTAATTGTTGCTTGGTGGCTACACACACCGTGGAAGTTCATTTCATGTTGAAATACTTGAAACTGAAGCAACATTTCTCGTTCTTCACTTCAGTGCTCAGGAGAGAAATGGTTGAGGGCGGTCGCACACATCGTTTTTGAATAGGGTTTGGAATTAATTTAGGTTTTATGATCTTACAGATAGATATCTAACAGCAGTACGCATTTTCTCTTGGATGACCAGCAAGTCGGCTATAATGCAGAGGAATGCATCATCATTGCGTAATTGTGAAAGTCAATAGCAGTTAAACTGTCAGTCATAATTGACAGCCTACTCGCGTACACAATGAATGAGGTTCTTTGCTAACCTTAGAATATGTACATGCTTGATAAGTAGCTAAGTTTTTGAAGTAATCGCCGAAAGTTTCACTAGGTTATTTCAATAGTACTAGGTGATTTTGTGGGTATGGTTCTATTTGTGCTCAGTCTCTGACTGAAAGTTAATATCTTTTTTCGTGGGAATTAATTCATCCTGCTGAAATGTTTTAAAAAGCAGTAATTCATTAATTAATGGTCAGTAACATCTATTTATTTTTCTTACACTCACCGAGACATTAGTTTCTGCTTATGTGGGTTGTCGAATCTCAAATTTTTTTGTCTGGAGCTCTTAATTCCTCTAGTTTATTCGTCCGAAATTTGAAAAACGTTTTTCACTTGTTTTTCGTTCTCCTCACTTTTTTGAATTCTGTCCACTTGTTGTATAAACCAGTTAAGTTACATTGACTGCATTAGTCGGTTCGATGTGAGCCTACAAATTGCATTGTTGGTTTCATCTCTCCATTTTATTATCTCTTCCTGAATTTGAACTATTAACGCCAAAGATACATCTTTAGGTGTCATGCTGTTAAGTAGTTCGTGGAAAACACCCATAAGGACATTAGAAAGAAGAGAACACGAAGTTTAGCAGAGATATCTTTTCGGCGATTTCATTTTCAAAAGCTGTACAATCGCATTCAAATACATAATTTTACATGGATACAATTCTTGTTTGATTCCACATAATTACGACGGTGAATAAAAGGTGACGATTATTTTCAACTAGATATGGTTTACGAGAGGCTTAGAAACAAAATTACACAGGATTAGAACGGATAACAAGTGTGTAAAAATGAGCATGGAAACAAAATTGAAATAATAATTTTCAACTTGAGATGGGAGTTAGGAGGTGCGAATATAGATTACAAGAGCCTATATTCGCACCTCCTAACTCCCATCTCAAGTTGAAAATTATTATTTCAATTTTGTTTCCATGCTCATTTTTACACACTTGTTATCCGTTCTAATCCTGTGTAATTTTGTTTCTAAGCCTCTCGTAAACCATATCTAGTTGAAAATAATCGTCACCTTTTATTCACCGTCGTAATTATGTGGAATCAAACAAGAATTGTATCCATGTAAAATTATGCATTTGAATGCGATTGTACAGCTTTTGAAAATGAAATCGCCGAAAAGATATCTCTGCTGAACTTCGTGTTCTCTTCTTTCTAAGGTTAATTAGTTGACTGTAAACTTGTCCTATATATTTCTCCTTTGCTATCCTTCCTATGGTTGCTCCACCGTTTTCCCGGAGCCATTTGCCGGAAGGATTATCCCCTGTTTTATTATCTATGTAAACGTCACATAAAAGTTTAAAATATTAATTTTTTTTAAGTCAATCTTTTTATGTTTCATTATCGAATGTGTAAATTTTTTTTACGGTATCATAACCTTATAATAATTCTGCGGTATTTTCCATTAACTTCTAGCCGCTGATTGTTCAGTTCAGTTGAACGAGGCACCGACGAATGGTTTGGTGTATTTCCATGCTTTAGCCGATTTAAAAGATTTATCACCCAGTTTGCTACCATATGTTCCATTGTTTTGTGGACTATTTACAAGGTATGATAAATTATTCCTGAAACATTTATTAACTTTAATTTGTACTCAGTATGTATCTAGCCTAGCAGTTTCACGATTCTGAGTTTAAAGATAATTCAATTTTTTTTGTTACTTGTATTCTCTCCTCATATGCTGTTTTCAACTTTGCTTCCTGTGTCTCAAATAGCAGAGTATCTAAAATTGAGACTATTCAAGCCTACTTATCATAGATTTCATATTTTCTTCATTTCGATCTTCAATCATACTAAATTGGATAAATAAAAATTAGAAATTATATCCAACGTTGGTCAGTATCTTGTCTTGGTTATGGTAACTAAAACTCCCTGACACCCCCTGATGAACCAAGTTACATGAAGTGGAAATTTGTATTTCCATATATTCTAAAGTCTTTTCAGATATAGATTTAAGCTTACTAAACCCATACTTTAAATATCTTACTGAGAAGAACTGTAGGAAATCATATACGACGGTCTGCTTAAAATTTGGCCTACCAAAAACTTCCATCTCTATATTGCATATATTTTCTCTCGTTCAGTTTGTTTTAATCGATTGAGGTATGGCCTCTAATGGTATTATCTACTCTCGTGTGTATTTAAAATGTTTACAAGCTTGTGATTCGCAAGTTCCTACTAAACTTGGGGAAAGGCCTGATTGTAGGTGGGAACGTGTTCCAATACATGAGATAACAGTTCTTCAGTTATGTCTTTCGGTCTCAAAATGTATTTCTGTACGTCCTTACAATTGGCTTCCAATAAGACATCGTAGATTTCTTGAAGGAGACAAAGCATATATATCATTATGGAATGGTTTGTGCTTCAGCTTAGAGAACACTTTGTCACAGGATATACTGTCAATTAATATTTTACTTGAAGATATTGTACGAAGGGAAAATACCATGCAATAAACTCCTCTGGAAATTCTGTACAAAGACTGTCCAGAATAAAGATATTATTATTATTATTATATATTATTATTATTGAAGAAATTCTCTATTTTGGGACCAGTGTGTTCTAATCGTTGTGAGAGAGCCTTGTTAGTTGAATATTTCGGTTGCCTTCATGAAACATTTTCCAGTAGTGCTATTTTGCCTTGCTTCAATAGATCAAATGATCACTTCATCAATTTGTAGTGTTTCGGTTTGAGAAATATCACATAATGGTGTCATCATAGTAATTTTGTTCTTTTGCAATAATTCTTCGACTAACAATCTGACAGAATATCAAGTTATAAGGTCATGATCATTATCATCAAAATGACACGTCTTCTATTTGTACGACCCCATTACAGATTTGCAAGTTCGAATTTGTTTGGCATTAACACCTAAACATGATGCTGAATACTCACAAGCTGCATTGATTCACTTCATTCCAAATTGGTTGTGTTATTCTAAATGTTCACAGTATCGCCGAGTGACACTATCGTTCTTATAATATTGTATAGTTTTTACTTCTTCGTAGAAATGAATTATCTTATTTGAAAAACACAGTTTAGATCAATACATATTTTCCGTAATCTATCATCGGGCTGTGCAATTGCACTTATTCAAAGTAGACATTTGATGATACCATTGTGGCTAACACTTCAAATATGTAGATTAGTTGACAGTAATCAACGGTATAGTAGTAATACCAATAGAAACATGCAAATTCTCTGTGTAATCTAGACGGCCAGTCATTGTGCATGTATATGTGGATTTTGTGTGTGTTAAGATTGAGAGACAAATGAAATATTGTGTCAAAGCAATTAAATAATAATGTTCAAATTTCTTACTCAATTTATATTTTGTTTTGTCCAGGTAGTAACCACCTCAAAAGATAGTACGAAATGATTAATATTGAGTTCATATAATCCTGAGACCTTTATCACCATTGCTTTGGGAAGAATTGGTTTGGAATGTATACATATCCCTTTGTGAACAGGTACTCAGCTCTCCTCAAATCTTTTCGGCAGTTGACAATGATGAGATGTTTCCCATATAATTTTGCATAAAAAGAGAACCGGTTTATTGATCAAATCTTCTCTTATAGTTAGCCCTTTTCCTTACTTTCCTGTTAATTTGTGCAGTATCATATAAATAAGGCATTAAGAAGACAAATTTCGCGAGATGATATCATTTCGTAGTTTCGTTACAACCGCTTTACAACTAACATGGTTAACAATAATAAAATAAAGTTCATGACAATAACTCAGTTAAATAAAAACAAAAGTACATACTGATGACTATCATTTAATAAAATATCCTGTAAAATTTGATTTAAATTTCAGATTAGGAGCAGACGGGTTGAGTTATCTGGAAATGGATCAAGCTATAGAATTGCATACAGCTGGTCTGACAGCTTCGGCTCTAGCCACGCCAAAAATACCTTGTTCTGAAGTCAATTTTATACCAACATCTCGTCATATTCACTTATCCGGCTATTGTCTTGAATCGAAATTGCCCGATTTCTTTGATCTTTGGTCTAAGCTGTTTTGTTCTCCTGATTGGTCGGATTATGATCGTTTATCCACCTTAATTCAAATGTCTGCTGCAGGAGAATGGTCTGCAAATGCAATATCAAATTCTGGTAAAGCCTAATATTTTCTCAATGAGAAGTTACTTTATTATTGATTTTTTTGGCCAAAAGCTATTGCCACTTTTAATATTAGAACAAGACAATATAAGCGAACAATAGTGTTTTCAATTAGATCTTCTTCAGGCTTTACTCTAATTTACATGGATTTATATATAAAATTTTTTAACCAATGATGGTGATTTTGTGGATTAAATAATAATGATATTGATGATAATAATAATGTGGTAAATGTCTTGAACGTCATTAATAACAATAATAAAGTTTATGCAGGTGGTTATAAGAATAATGAAAGTAGTAATATGTGTATATGTAGACAATTCAATAAATAAATAAATTAGGTCAAATCTTAAAAGGTGAAGTGGACAGATGATCAGAGTTTAAATAAATATCATAAAAGTACAAGAGAGATGGAAAATAAGAAAGAGTGGCAGGGTTTTGAACAGAATTCTCCTAGGCCAAGGGAGAGACAAAGGTAGAACAAACTTCTTTTGTATGCAAAGACTGGGATTGTTCTCTCGAATTCCCTTAGTTTCGGATAAGTGTAAAAGCGAAGTCTTACATCTGAGATTATCGACAGCAATAAAACGGACTTACACTGCCGCCACCCTTTGTTTGTCACTTTCCAACCGACCAATTATGATTGCTCAAGTGAAAGACAAGCTACCAAACTGTGCCACTTCTATGTGTATCTATAAATTTAGTTGCTCCTGTGAAGAGAACTATATAGGGCGAACAACTAGAGAGCTTAACAAATGCATTAAGGAGCACCTTCCTTCTTGGTTCGGACAAAGGGTAAATAAAATCTAAACGAAGTTCTATTTTGGCTCATTTGATTGATAGTGGTCACCAAGTGGACAACAATAATGCCTTCGAAGTTATCTATCGCATTCCGTCAAGCCTTTCGAACGGAATCAGAACCCGTCTTTTACACTTAGCCGAAACTAAGGGAATTCGAGAGAACAATCCCAGTCTTTGCATACAAAAGAAGTTTGTTCTACCTTTGTCTCTCCCTTGGCCTAGGAGAATTCTATTCAAAACCTCCCACCTTTTCTTATTTTCCATCTCTCTCGTACTTTTATGATATTTATTTAAACTCTGATCATCTGTCCACTTCACCTTTTAAGATTTGACCTAATTTATTTATTTATTGAATTGTCTACATATACACATATATACATATACTAACTTTGTTATTCTTATCACTTGACCAGTGAGGTCCAATTAGATGTCACGTGTGTGGATGGATGTCCCACCAACTACAATGGTTGGGGTCGCGCTAAATCACGAATTGGTAGAAGTTAGAATTTATGAGCCATTGAATTGGGTCCCAGTGGCTGAATGGTATACGGGCTTGCCTTGTAACCGGAAGGTCCTGGGTTCGAATCCCAGTGGGTGCGTACTTCCGATGATTCCCAAACTAAGATGAAACAGCAGCTGTCCAGTACTCCCTGGTTTTCAATGGTTCTCTAATTGATATCAGTCCGTGATCAACTCGTAAAACTTGCATAAGCCTTATTTTCAATATTATGTTATCACTATAATCATCGTGATTAATTACGTTCAAAACATTTACATTATTGTTATAATAATAATTATTATTTGGTCCACAAAGTCACCATCATTGGTTAAAATTTTTTATCTATAAATCCATGTAAATTGGAGTAAAGCCTGAAGAAGATCTAATTGAAAACACTATTGTTCGCTTATATGTCTTGTTCTAAGAGCCATTACCTCCAATGTTCATATCTGAATGTTCAGTCAAAAATACTGTAGTCATCAATTCATTGAAGTGTATCTCTCCTATTTTCTTTTAATTTTCAATCCGTCTTAACTGTTGTGATAGTTATTGTTAGGGATATCTTGCTGTTGTTTTTATTGCCCTGTAGGTTGTCTTGGAATACAGCTATGCACCATTGTGCGAATCGTATTCATCATATTTTGCTTGAATATGTTTTATACCAAAATTTCTGTGCATTTTTCCTTTCCAGTTGATAAGTCTATAATTTTAGGGTTGATTGTTTTTTTATTTCTATTTCTGGTGTTCACTTTTGAGGTTATCCATCTGCAATAAATAAGAGTCAGGAGCATCCATACTGAAATACCGTCCCAGAAATAATTGACTACGACGACGACTTGTGCCTCACAAACCCAGTAAAACTGCTCAGAGCATTTATGCAATTACCTGAGATGTTATCTTGATAATAATTCTATGGATGACATACAAATAGGACGAGTATATTTACCACATGACATCACCTTAGCAACGGGTACTTAAAACAGTCAAAAAACAGTGCAATAATAAAAAGCCGTAATCAGTAAATTTATAGGGACAATAAAATAATAGGATAGTTGAGAATAACAAGGATAGTGATTAACCATACTCTTGATAATATACTGGCAAATATTAACAAGCTTGGTAATATTACCAAGAGTAGTGTTAATTACTATTCTTCGGATTCTTAAAATGTAAAGAACTCGGATTTTCTTGTTCCAATTCCAGTACAACCCTTGAATCTAGAGGATGGCAAGCAAGCTAACTATCCAGGAATGCTTCGTCACAATAGGTCACCATGTTAGATTTATTCTAAATAAATCTCTTCATAGCAGTCTTAAACTAGAAACGAAGTAAACAGTTCACCTTACGTGACATTACCATGTTAGAATCATATACGTCTCAGTCCCTCGTTCTGTTCAACATTTTTCTTACTGTTAGGTAGGAAATATGTTGAATAACTAAGGCACATATTCTCAGCCAACTTATTTTCATATTTTTATCTGTTCCTTATTTTTTCTTAAAGCTCACAGATTCGCTATGTGTCGTGCAGCTGCTAGTCTCTCTTCAACTCTACTTACCCGTGAGTTTTGGTCGGGTATGGAGCAAGCTAAAATCATGCGTCATATTGCTGGTAAACTCGATGGAAAAGGTGAAGGTGAAAACAATTTTCCCTTGAGAATTAGTGAAATTATGAAGTCTATTTGGCAGCATATTGCTTCACCTGAAAGGCTTAAGTGAGTCTCTATGGTTTACAGATCAACTAATCAATGTTGTGGCTTGCTTTTCTACTGAAATATTTCTTTGCTTCTCACAAAGCTAAGCCTACTGGAGAAATCGCTTCCCGCTCCCTTTTTTGTTTAGTTGTAGTTCTCTTGGTATGAAAAATAAGTATACAAGAAGCATATCTCTTGTCTGTTTGTAAATTAACACATTATCTCAGTTTGTGTATCATTTGAAAGCACTTACTGCACTGTGTTTAATTATTCGCTAAGTATCTTTAAGGTATACTATGTTTCTAAATAATGGAGAAGATTCGTAGCCCAGGTGTATGATATTGAATTAGTTGTGTTCTCTGAGCTGGTCGATTTAAGTGTAGAGCTTTCGTCGTCCTTCTAGACAACATCTTCAGCGGAGGTTTGTTTTTATACTAAAACTTGCTCTGAAGATGTTGTCTAGAAGGACGAAAAAAAGCTCCACACTTAAAACAACCAGCTCAGAGAACACAACTAATTCAATACTCGGTTTCTGTTTCCCTTCTGATTACTGATGAAAATGAAAAGCGATAAATGCTAACTGTTAGAGGGTGCGGCAGCTCAGGGTGTTGTTATTTAACAATGTTTTGCAGTGCTCACAATCAACGGGTAGCTAGTATTATTTGCCATCTTCTGGTTTAGTGTCTGATTCTCATTTGCGTCTTAAAGTAGATGAGTGCTGTATTGTTTTAACTGATTAAAACTTCGTTTAATGATGTTCATATACGTTAAGGTGTTCGTGATTTTGTAACAACAATTTTTAGATGACCTGTGAGTTGATGATAATCAATATTAAGGTTATTTTGTCTGACACCATAACATTTAAAGCATGTGTGTATCCTTTAGAAGTCAATATTTTTCATTTCTGTGTAATATATATTATAATTATAATTATCTCTTCAACTGATATTTCAGGATTAATTGCAAACTTAACAAACAAAAGTTTTGCATTGACTAAATAGTGGACTATAGAATATGACTCAGTCCGCATTAGTATTTTTCAACTAGATTTTCTATTTATAGCTGGTACAAAGAGATCTATGTCTATAGTATACTGTATGTCCTTTTGGTACTTCCTGAAGACCTGTCGGTGTTATTATCGTTAACTGTACGCCTTTTTTTTTTAAGTGCATCTTGTTGGTGGGAATAAGTAGCCCCGCGTCTCTAAAAACGGAAACCTCCATATATCATATCTTTCAGTTAACATGTGTGTACTATTTATTCATCTATTTTATAATTATCATTTGTATGTACTCTGTCTCTCCTGCAATATTTAGATTCAGCCTTCATGGTGAACCTGAATGCTTAGCAAGTGGTTTGAAATGCTTAGAGAACTTCTGTAGCAAATTACCAAAGTCGTCACAAAAGTCTAATGTTTCTTCTGATGAAGACACTGTAAATGATGAAGATATTTTCCCCAGTCTTTCTGAGAATATTTATTATACAATGCCATATACAGTTCATTATACTGCTGAGGCTATCAAAGCTCCAGGTTATGAGTCTGTGGATTATGCAAGGTGAGAAAACAAGAAAATTTTATTTTTTATATATATTTATTTTGGAGTATAGATTCTTTATTGATAGTAACAATTCGTCTACTGACAAATCTGTTGTATTTTTGTTTTCTTTTTTACTTCAGTTACCGTGTGTTGTCCCATCTTCTGTCATTTAAATATCTGCATAGAGAAATCAGGTAGAATAAATAATTTTAAAAAAAATATTTTGCTTGATATTCACCTCTTAATTTTCATGTTGATGTAATTCAAGTGTTTAGCCGCAGTGTAACAGTCGGCAGAAGACAAGGAGGAGTGTTTATTTGGAATTTGGTATCTCTATATAGCCAAATTATGTACACACCTAATCTGCAAATTGTCATTTGCGCGGATCTTCGGTGTTGTGCTACTTCAACCCTTGGTATTGTGTTTCTTTTCGTGTCTCCCATGTTTTACCACAACTCTGAATAATTTCCCCTCTCTTTGACTTCAAATCTATCCACTGTTTGATATTTTTATACCGATGAGCGTCTCTTGGTATACTACTGATAAATCTTATCAGAAGCACACGTCCCAGCAGGGCTGGTCTTGGAGGATTTTTTAATATGACATAGTTTTACACAAATCACAGTCTACTACTCCAGCAGGTGCGAAATTCACATTGGTCTAGTGTTTGAGTTCCACATCTTTTAGTAGACGTTGTGATTAGCTGATTCGATCAATATATAAACAAATAATCAGTATATCTAGGATACCTTCTCTAGAAATTTCAGTTGAACAGGTTTCATTATGATAAATGATGGATAAAGAAAACACAAGCACTGATCTTAATTATGCCAAAAGATGCATGGTAAAGCTTCTTTCAGAAAATTATAATAATAATCCATTATATTGTATTTTTTTTACAGAGAAAAGGGTGGTGCATATGGGGCAGGTGCTGTTTCAAAGCCAGAGGCCTTTTTGTTTTACTCTTATCGGTAAGTAACGAATTTTTATCCATTTAGTCGTTTCTTTTCCTTTGAAATTACACTTGGGACTTTTTAAAGATAACAGAGGGAATCGGGTTGGAGGAATTAGCAGATAGTTCGAGGAACACCAAGAGACTACGGTAATCCTAGAGTATGTGGCTTCCATCGACCTCTAAGAATGACCTACATCATGTGAATAGCAATCATCTTGGTATTAGTTTGTTAGCACTTCTATTAAAAACATTTGCTGCTGTCATGTACCTCTGAGGTTGTAAAATGTCCGAAAAAATCGATGCAGGAGAACAGGCAATCTTAGTTATGGAAATCCATTATATTAATAGTGGATTAGCATGTGATTATTCTGCTCATATTGTTTGTTTTTTTAACTCAGCATACTTTTCGTGGACTAAGATTGTGATTTGGTCGTTGTGAAGATTGGTTTATTCTGTTGTTTGTTATTTTGTACTTCGTTAGTGATCCACACGCTTACAAAACTTTGAATTGCTTTGAAAGTGCTTTGCATTGGGCTGCATCTCAAGAATTTCAGCAACAAGATCTCAAAGAAGCTAAACTTGCAGTTTTCCAAGAAGTTAGTTGTTAGTTTTTTGTGAAGGTTTTAATGAGTGTCACTTCTTATCCTTAACTGTTATTTGTATGTAATAAGTTAACAGCAAAGAAAATTTTCTTTTCGATGATTCATTTTCCACCAAGATTCGTAGACAAAAACATGAAAGAGAAGCCTCCGTCGTCAAAGATCACAAATGCTCGTAAGAAAACTCTCTTCATGAACCTGGAATTCAAAGGCGACATTCTTCAGCAGACAGTTAATCCAGTCTTACGTTAAGGATAAGATAGTGCTTTTGGCCACCTCAGTGTGTATTTGTCAGTTTACGTGCTTATGTGAAACAAAGTATATCGGCCGTACGCAACATCAAGTTGACAGACATTGTCCAGCTTGGTTAGCTAGCTAGCCAGAGGAGAAAAGAGGGATAGTAGCACGTCCATCCTCCAACACCGTGTCATCTCTGGACATCGAGGAGAGCACTCACACCTGCATGAGTGCTTCACAGTGCTGCACAGAGTCCTTCAATATCGTACAAAGGGACTTTTCATGCGCCATATGTACAAAGCTGAGGCCTTAGCTATTCGGGATCTGAAACCGGACCTCTGCATTCAAAAGCGATACATACATTCACTCGCCCTACCGTCCTCAGAGTAAAGTTCTTACTATAATTTTGCTTCTTTTTATTATCTTATGAAAATGAATCGTCGAAAAGAAAATTTTCTTCGCTGTTTACGTCTTTTGCTTATGACTCATTATGGGAATATTTCGTTCATTTGTATGTAACACTACCATGCAGTGATGACACTGATTTATAGCAGTCGTTAAGATAGTTTGACTGCCATTATTAATAATAATGTTTCCAGAATTAGGACAGAGCAAACATTTTAAAGAAATTCTTTTTATTCTACTAAATTTATGTAATCATCAATATTTTATTCTTCAAAGTTTAGTTTTGTCTGTTTTTCTAGTCGTCTGAAAATGCTTCTATATGAATTTCTGTTTTGAGTGAGCTTATACTGCAACTAGTAACTGGATAAGAAAAAAGTTCAGATCACTGAAGAAATGAATTTTAAGTAGCAGTTGGTGTTATTGCAAATTAATGTAGATAGGGGTTGATGCTCTAGTGTTGAACAGGATAGTACTTTTTCGTCATGAGAATTTGTGAAACATGGACTTTTGACTTGAGATCATTTCATTGTCTAACGATTCGACAATCCTATCTTTACGTGTTTACAAGATATGAATGTTAGCGCTCGGGGTTCGATCCCCGGCCGACGCACTCCTTTACTTCGCTAAGCCAGAAATAATGGTGGTGAAGAAGAAAGGTTGGGCATGAGGCTAGCAACCCCATCCTGTAAAATAAACACTGCTACAGAAACTTCAAGCCTCCAGCTTGAAGCCCTATGTTCCACTGGGGAACGTGAAGGATAAAAAAAAATGTTAGCGCTCCTCTTATTGTCCTTAACCCCCAAGTCATATCACTGTGTGTGTACTGAGCCCAATGTACTACCCATCTAATATGGATGATGATAGAAGAGAAAATTGCTTATTACAGTAAACGAATGATTAATTAAAAACAAACTCATTTATATAAGCGGGATTTCACAGTTTCTTAATTTTTTTCATTAACTTTGGCGTCAATTATATTTTGAAGATGTAGAGAGTGGTGGTGGTGGTGGTGGTGTTGAAGATCTGTTGTCTGGAGGAAGTACTCAAATACCCTGAGAGTTCAGACGAAATCCGATACTATGTAGGTTTTGACGGAATTGTAGAGATAGAGTATTGTACTAATCGTGGCACTGCATTCTAATTCATTTAGCTGTCCAAGTGTCTACGGATGGTTTTATATGATGCTACAATAACAATTTGTACCTGTCAGGAACTCCCACTGTTTCTGTTCTTATTTAATTCCACTCTGTAAATATACCAGTGGATGTAACGAAGCCATGGTTAGGAGATTGACTTCGCTTTTAAACTATTGACGATAGGTAGAGTATTTTCCGTATGTAATTCTTTGCTGTGAAATGCAATTTATACTGTAGGACTAGTTTCTACGGACTCGCGGGTTAAGTATAATTTTAAGTTTTGTCGACTTCACTCATTTCAGAAGTTGTATTGATCTTGACTTACTCCTCACTGATACACCCGCTGTAATGATACAAAAGTGCGTTTTGTATTTGTCCTCATTCGTCATCTTCGACAAGTTATCTATCGAAGGATGTGTGCTGTGCATCAGTTCACTCCTTGCTACTTTACGACTACGAGATATGGCTACCGAAATTGAATGATGTGAAAACAAAGAGTTCCTCTTTTTGTAGATAGGTTGGGCTAAATTTTTAATTCAGTCTACGCAGTTGTGAACGTTAATCTGGTAAGCTAGCTTGAATTAGCATTTATGTGGACATTTTTAGATACATTATGGTTCAGTTTTTCTTGTTTAATGAATTTTGTGTTTTTCCTCATCAATTAAGTTGGATATTAAAATCCTATTGTACTCATGTTTGGCGCTGATTCACGTCTAAATTAATTGATTCTATTTCAACCAACCTAATGATGCAGTTATATTCTATAGTGCAATGTAGGATTCTGTCCCAATTAGACAGAGCTTTTTCCGTTCATAGTTTTTTGAAGTAATTTGCATTTTCACTCCTTGAAAGTAGTTTCTCAGTGGGATACCCTTAGTTATATTAGTAAATAAAGGGAGAAATGACTGTTGCTGTCCCACTTTATTGTTATTTCGCTAATAGAATTTTGTGGTAAATTTTCGTTTTTTACTGTCTGTAATTAACCGACTACAAATACTAAGGTGTATTCATTCAGCTAACTTTTATTCATTAATACCTTCACCACATTTTCATACTTCTGTTCAGTTGGATTATCCTGTTTCTGCTGGTGCGCGTGGTCTGAATTACTTTTTGTATGGAATCAGCGATCAACTACGTCAGTCACATCGATGTCAAGTTTTCTCTGTGGATGCATTGAAAGTAAAGAATATTGCTGAACAAATTGTACACAAATTATCAGATCCTTCAAATTCTTGCACAGTGGGTCGTGTTGTTTTAGGTCCAGAAAACAGCCCAGATTGGCCATCGAGTGATGCATCCCAAAAATTGAAAACTTCTTGGAAGTTTGATACAGTCGCGGAGTAGATATACTACAATACCTCTTCATGTTTTATGTTTATTACTCATTGAGAATGCTTTGTCAATACAAGTTTATATATATTGAATTAGAACCTCACTTTTTGTATATTGTACTTTAGGAGAAATACATTGTCATTAATCTTGTTAATGCCTTTTCTTTGCGCTATAGGAGTTTTCATTTCATAAATATACCATCCACTTTCATAAAATTGCTGTATGCAGGTAATAATAATGATCACTAATCTCTATCTAAACTCAGTGTTATATTGACTTCTACCAGAAAGTTGTGATTTCCTAACCGACGTTAACCTAACACATCCTTCACAACGCGCAATGTATAATGACCCCTGTTAGCCGGCTTCCCTGAGATATCCGTGTTAACGCATGTAGACAAAGTTGTTCATTTGTCTGTTTCACTGACCTCAGTATCAACAAATTTAAATAACTGTTAGAAGAAAGGACCTGCATTCTATCTCCCGTGTTAGGTGGCATAACAGGGTAAGCAATATTAAGGTGAGGCATCGGTGGTCGAGTGTGAGATAAGAAGGGGAAATCAGTCGACGAGGTTGTGAAGCAGATGCATCGACTGAGATGCTTAGGATATGTGTTACGCATGTGTAGCCATCGATCGCCTTCCTCTATAGGCGATGTTAGCTGACACAGGATGTATCAGGTTGGGAAAGAGTTAGGTAGTTAGTGGTGGTCAAACCAAAACATGACTTCATCAGTCCCAGAATTCTTGGGATGGTGAAAACCAGTCGCTGGAGACAATTGGTGGTATGGCTCAAAATCGTGCGAAGTTTTTCGTTGAATGAGTCAGTCAAAGAAAGGACGTGGGTGGGGTTCTCTTCACTTTAAATATGACTAACTGTGACGAAATTTCTAAGTTATTGAGCATTATGAAGTAGAGTTTAAACTTGTAGGTTGTAAAACTATACTGCCTGCTATCGTGTGTTTGAGCTCTGGTTAGGGAATAAATACTGAGAGTGAGGATGAGAATGGATATAAAAGCAGATGGAATGCTTAAATTTCTTATTTATTCTTTCTCCCTTCTTTTTCTACTTTTCCATTATTATATCCTGCCTTCTATTTTGTCTGTGTTTGCTTTATTGTCATGTTTCTCATGTCTCTCTGTGTTTCTTTCTCAGTTTTGTTTCTCTTCTTATTACTTTTCATACAATTTATACATATTGTACTTAGTTGATATTGTTTCAGATCACCATTATCTCATACATTCATATTTGATGTTTTTATTCATGCTTTCAGTTTTCCTTCCTCTTTATTAAACAATTATTCCGCAAAATGGTTCTTTTCACAAGGTGGAATTTTTAACGTGAATTATTTCTACCATGATGAATTTCAGGGTAGACCTTATTGATCGAATACTGTTTGCTGGTTGAATCAAGGTGATGTAAAAACGCGTAACTGTCATTTCGTTCTTTTTTGGGATTGAGCTGATTAGAAGTATACTCACTCATTCAGTAGGAATTAACTCGAAGAAACGAATTATTTCACACAACGCGAATTTCAGCCATCCAATGCTTGAATCACTGTTTAGAAAGCACTACTGATGACTAACTTTTAAACACTCACATACCAATCAGTAGTATAGTGTGTGTGCACATAAGTGCCAAGGTTGCGTTTGCTCTTGTTTTGGGTAGCGGTAGAACGCTTGCCGATCACGTATGGGGTCTGGGGTTCGATCCTCGGCCGACGCACTCCTAAACCTCACTAAGCCAGTAATAAGACTGGTAAAGAGGGAAGGTCGGGTATAAGGCTGGTAACCCCATCCCGTAAAAATAAACACCACTGCTACCGAAACTTCAGAGGTCTATCTTGAAGTTTTATATTCCACTCGGAACGTCAAGGAGTAAAAAAATTAAACCAAAGAAGTTCAGGAAAACTACAGTTGTTGCAGAAAAAAAAGGAGAAAGAATAACTAAATGAAGATTAGCGAGTCCGGATGATGAGGAACGAATAAATCACGAAGCTCTTTATATGTCTTACAAAAGTATTTCGACTTTTTGTTTCTTTTTTCAAGATTACATTTATCGTAGACACGTATATGTATCTGAAGTTGTTTTTTTCCACTGTTAAAATCATCGGTTTATTTCAGTAATGAACTCTAAATCAAATGTAATTTCAAAATCACTGACAAATCGCGTTCATGTTCTGTTATCCTTAGATAGTGATTAAAGTAGTTGTCAATGTTGGCGAACATTGAATAGTTTGTTTATTCGAAATGGTCTCCGTTGGCGGGTGACAAGGAGGCTGTCATTGCCAAATCGTCTACTGGTTGGCAGGAAATTGGAGAAATGTGATCAGAAGTATTCTTTTATATTATATTAACGTTTATTTACAGACTTAGGCATTGATTAACCACTGCAAATCCGTTTTGTTGTCACTTGAAGAATAAATAATCGTGTCGCCCAACTGTTTTCTGTTCTGCATTGGTTACAGTGCATAGTGTCCTACGTATTAAGCTTATTCATCTGAAACCAGCGATAGGTCCAGATCTCTGCGTTCTGGATATTTGACAGTAGTATTGTTAAGGTTTTAGAAAAGTTGACGTATCTTTCGTTACTGAAGTATCGTAATCTCTTATATGTGCTCCACTTATCAAAGTGTCGCAAATTTTCCATTTCTATTTATACGAAAGTAAAAGTAGCCTAAAATGTTATCGAAATTTTCTTTGACAGTATTCGAAGAATTAAAAAACAGTATACTGTTTAAGATAGTGTAACAACAGAAGACAAGAGCCAGGCAACAGATCGTTTATTAAGGAAAATCAACACATATTTATAGATTTTAATGTACATTATTGTAGATTATTGTTTGTAAAAAATACAGTCTTTTGATTGATTGTTTCTCACAGAAAGTTAACCTTGCATCTCTTTGTGTCTGTGTCAGATCATCCATATGCTAACTGTATCCGCCTACGCAAAGCCTTTGTTCTCATTTTCTCACCACCAATATTGGGGACATAAACATTGACGTCAATTACTGGCTAGCAGCCAGCTCTCACCACAATCGTATAACACCGGTTTCAGCATCACAATTTTGTGAGGTCAGCATGTTAGTTGCAAGAATGTGGAGATTTTTTGCGGCCTTCAATTCACCTATATTTATTATTGCTATTCCGTTGGGTGTTCCGAATGGGAACTAGTGCTTCAGCAGCACCTCTCCGTTTCCTTGTTTTCTTTGACGTCTTTTTTCTTAACTGGCTTTCATTTTTTCTTCACATGGTCTCTATGTTTCAGTTGGTTTCTGAGTTCCTAGACGGGTTCTACTGCGTGAAATGTCAATCAGCGATCTCATTCAGTATATGTCCAGTTCATCTCAATTACGTTTTACGTATTTCTTGTGCAATAGATGTTTTGGTTGGTTGGTTCTCAAAGATCTTTGTAGCTTATCCTTTCTGGTTATCTAATCTTCGTTATGGATGGAAGGCAGCTGCTGATAAAAGTCTGTAGCCTATTGGAAGTGTTTTAACCGAGTCGTGTACCAAGTCTCTATATCATATAGAAGCACTGACATCAATGTGAGCAATTCGGATCATGTGTTGTGCAGGCATATGTTATGCAGACGATATGAAGTAGAAATATGTACTAATGGTAACTGTTATAAATGAAACATAGTGTATACCGCACGATATGAAGTCAATTGATTCATTTCACTAAGCGAACTGGCCTTGTGTATTCACAGTAGGCCGTACATTTGTGCATGAATATCTTTTTAGTTCGTGAAATATTTCTTCTTAGAATTATATTAATTTGTTCAACTAGAGTATCGTATTTTAACTTGAAATAGGCTCTTCTTTTTGCACTTCACTGTACCTGAAGGTGTGAAAGTGGTCATTTAGTTTCTAATGTGGTGTGTGAAATATTTAGTAAGACATCGCTATGTGTTTCGTCATCAACTTATACCTTTCAAATGGACTGTATACAAAACAGTGCTGCTGAAGTCTTATAGCCGTGGCGAAACCTAAGAGATTAATAGGCACAAAATATTGTCACTTTAAATAACTAAAGATTTTTTTCATTAGTGATATTTCTGAAATGGGATGCTTTCTACCTGCCCTTAGACCTTAATTTGTCGAACGTGTACATTTTTGTCATCTGTAACAGCATCAAAAAAAGGAAAGTTTTCTGTATTGCTCCAATAATGAGGAGAAAGTTCACTCGGTCTACTGATTGTGATCAACACACACACACAAACACACTGGTTATCATACGATGGTCTATTCGTGCATCACACTGGATATTGAACAATCGTTCTCATTACTAGGTGAACCAGTTACATGATTCACCTCGTCATTCAATGTTTAACAAATTGAATTCGATTATTATCAATGATAGGTACATTATGTTTTCTGTTTAATGCATAATAATTCCCAATCAAATTATACTATTCTTCCTTATTATTATTATTCTTTTTGCCTCATATCTCTGCTTATTATCTCTCCCCACTCTCTTCTCTTGCTTTGTCTGCTATATTGAGTGTGGCAACTCGAACTGTTGCACATTTGTGCAAAGTTCTACATTGAAACCAGTCAGTCATTCAGTCTAATACTACTGGAATTTTATGAACTGATGTCTTCATAAGTTTTAATTTCATCATGTTTACACTAACGTTGTTTTTAATCACAATGATAGGGATGAGATTTAAATTATTTCATGCTGCAAATAATTAATGTCAATCGAAGCATTAAACTGAAGAAAACTATTGATTATTTCATTGTTTCTATAAAATGAAATACGATTTGTTTTTTGTTTTTAAAAAAAGTATGTATTCTGGGAAATTTCATGAACAACAACACGGGAATAATGCTAACAATTCACTTGAAGAAGAAAAATATAAGTGTATCGAGGGTTATAAGTAGGATATAATATTCTTTTCATTGTTGTGGTACAACCTATTCACTATAAATAAGGGGTGATGTTTTATACAGAATTTTGTCATCTTGAAGTGACATCGAATGTGTGGAGTGTGGATATCCTGGCCACAAAAGCTCATTTATTACATTCTGATATTTTTAGTAGTTCTCTGAATTTAGCATACATCTGGAGGACCTGCATTTATACACTGTGCTGAAAGTAAAGATTCATTCATTCTACTTGACTGCATATATATATATATATATATATATATAGGCTTTAAGATGAGAATGAATTTTTCCGACTGTATTATATCTG